CTTCCTCTCGCCGCTTCCTCCTCCTTGACTTCTTCTGCTCCTCCTCGACAGGCGGGCAAGCTTTCCTTGACCAAGGTCATGATCGGGCACAACAAGATGGATGGAAGTAAGAACCCGCTCCTCTCCCCTCTCTCCTTAACTTTCCTTACCAGTTGCAATCCTCGACGCGGGAGATGGTCAGGGAGGGTGCGAGAGCGAAGTCAGAGAGGCTTCTGTTGTCCGCAACGGACGGTTCGGAGTCTCCGCCATGGGCTCCTGCTCCTGCCGCCTCCTCAAAGTCAAAGTTGAGAGCAGCGGAGACGGTAGCGGGGACGGCGGACACGGCGTTGCAGCACTAAAGGGAGCGCTTGTGTCCGTGACAGAGTGCAGGATAGCTCATAACAAGAAGTGTGGAGTCCTAGGTGAGGGAAGAGAAGGAGGAGGAGGAGGAGAAGGAGGAGGAGGAGGAGGAGGAGGAGGAGGAGGAGGAGGAGGAGGAGGAGGAGGGTGGGGGAGGAGCAGAAGTGAAAGTAGAGAATGACATCGTTGCAGTGCATGGAGCTTCACCAGGAGGAAGAGCATCGGGCGTGAACTTGAAGAAATCTGTCGTGCAGGTAAAAGTAGGGGAGGATCTTACGAGAGAGGAGGGAGAGAAGGAGGAAGAGGAAGAGGAAGAGGAAGAGGAAGAGGAAGAGGAAGAGGAAGGGGAAGAGGAAGAGGAAGAGGAAGAAGAAAGTGACGGAGGGACTCTGACAAGGAAGAGCAGGACAATAGTCTTTTCGGTGCCTCAGCTGCTGAGGGAGGGAGACTGCTCATCTCCTCCTCTTCCTTCGTACGCAACACACTGGTACCTCGAGGCTCTCTCCCGCTTCCTGCTCCACCCTCCCTCCATTGACCTTCTTGCCCTTTCCCCTCCTTCCCTTCCGTTCCCTTCCTCCCTTACCCCTCTTCCCTCCTCCTCTTTCTCTCCCGCTTCTCCTTCCGTTCTCCTGCTGCAGTACTGCGGCCCTCCTCTCTCGACTCTTCACTGACCGCAAGATCCACAGGGGGAAGTGGAGGGAGACTATCGCGTGGAACGAGGAACCCTCCTGCCTGTCCTCACCGTCGCTGCGGTATCGGTACTCCTCTATGTCTTCCTCCGCAAGTCAAGGACTTGAAAGTTTCTGTTTCAATCTTCAACCGAGCCCTTAAAGTCTTTATATGATTCCTTTGCTCTGCACTCCTCCTCTGACTCACTCTCATCCCCTCCCCCCTGCTTCCCTGCTCCTCCCGCTCCTCCTCCTCCTCCTCCTCGTCATCAATTTCGTCCTGTGTGCCGTGAAGGATCGTAAAACCTCGCAAACTCCTTAGGAGTGTGCTTGTCCTCCAGCAACCAAGACTTCCAGTACACGAAGAAGACGCTATCACGGTCCGCGCGGTTGAGCAGCACAGCCCTATCGTCTGCCACATCACCTTGAAGTTCCAGCCCCCCCTCCAGTAGAGGGTTGTCAATCCCAGCTCCTGTCCGCCCGCCAGCCTGTCTGCTGGTCGTGAGCGAGTCAAACGCTGACCACGCCTTGGCCTCGTCGCTCGAGTCCTCCTCATGCACTACCGCCCCTCCTCCTCCTCCTCCTCCTCCTCCTCCCTTGGCCACGTCAGCGGTCTTGCCTTCTCTGGCAGATCTCGCTTCCAGCATTGCGGGAGTCTCATCGCCGAAATGCTGCCATTTGTAGCATCCGTTTCCGTAGGGTTTCGTCGCGCATTTGATCGCTCCAGGCAGCTCCTGAATCAGCCGCCGGACCTCCGGGTAGGCGATACCGTAGTACTCGGGGCCCGACACTGCCGTCTTGGACTCGCACAGCCCTCGTTGCAGCCTCATGTTGTTCACCTTCTTCATGATCGCTGACCACACGCCCGACGCCGTTGCCGCCACCTCCTTCCCAGCTGGGTTGTCGGTGGGAGTGATCTGGAAGGTCGGCTTTGGCCCAGCGTCGAGGATCTCGCAGATGTAGTCGACTTTCTTATCAACCTCCAACGTGCTCTGGTACTGCCTCCTCGCCCGGTACCCGACCGGCCAGATGTACTTGTCCGTGTGGAAGTTGGGGTTGTCAGCCTTGATGTGCCCGAGGCTCTCGATCGTCATGGCGTTGCCCAGCTGGATCGGCAGCTCGGGCCGCCCATGCTCGTCCACAGGGATGTCATGCTTGCGCCGCGACCTCGCCTGCTTCGGCTGCGCCACCTCGACCGCTGCCTTCCTCTTGTCCCCCAGCTTCGGCTCGTAGATCTCCTCCTCCACCTCGTTGGCTACCGCCACTCCCTTGGTGCTCAAGTGCCGGGTGACGCGGAAGTGACACTTGGAGGAGGGCGGCATGGCACACTTCCCTCCCAGCACACTGATCTCCTCCCACAGTGTCTTCAGCTCATGCAGCGTCCAACCGCTCACGTTCCCTGCAGTCTCTGCCTTGGCCAGGTAGGAAGAAACGGTATCAATGGTTTTGTTTGCTACAGCGATCATGTCTTCCGGAGCCGACTGGGATATGCACGTTTCCACCAGCTCCTTCAGCCCTCTTATCTTCTCCTTCTTAGGAGCAGTGATCTCCCCTCCTTTCCCCACCACCAGCTCCCCAGCATGTCCTCCCTGCCCTCTGGCTTGCGACACTGTCGATCGGACCGCCCGCTCACTCGAGCTGCTCCCGCTGTAAAGAGGAGAGTACGTGCTGCCAAGAGGGAGGTACCGCGTTCTGCGCTCGATAGCTGCAGTGGTGACATAAGGGACGGGGAAGGGGACGGTGACGTCCTTGCAGAGAAAGCCAGCCTCCTCTAAGTTCTTGACGTCCTTGGCGGTGAGAGGCAGAAGGCTTCCTCGCAGCATCTCTGCCATGCGCTCTTGGAATGCCTTGAGCGTGTCCCCGTCAAACTTGTCAGGCTGCAGAGCGTCGGGGATGGCGGCGACGGTAGAGCAGGAGGGGCTCGAGTCCTCGAGCAGCCCTCCTATCAAGAGCTCGTGCAAGAATATGCCTCCCTCCTGGTCTCGCAAGACCCACACGCGCGAGGGGCAGGCCGATGGAGAGCTGGAGGAGAAAGGGGAGGGCAGGGAACTGCTTGAGCCAGCGAGCACAAGGGTAGCAGGAGCGCCGCCTCGGATGTGCGTGAGGATCGTCTGAGTCGCCTCCTCCTTGGGCTTCAGGGCCGTCGATCGGTGGATGGTGCGGGAGGAGTGCGCATGGATGTTGAAGCCGATCTTCTCCAGCTGCTTGATCGACTTCCACTCCAGCACAAGTTCAGCTACGTCGCCGACTTCTGCGAAGCTCAGGAGCTCGACGTCGTACTCCTTCTTGCTGCTGCCCTTGACGTCTTTGGTCTTATCAGCTTCCGTGTCTTTCTTCCTCATCGGAATCCCCGTGATCCTCACGATCTGCAAGTTGAAGTGCGCGGCTGCCAGCCTGTACACCCTGGAGCGCAAGGAGGAGGCAACGACGTTGGAGGAGAGGGAGGAGGAGGTACTGGTGCTCATCACCTTCTCGCTGCTCTCTGACTCCAAAACCCACAGCATCTCCAGACGCACGTCGCTCTCCTCCGCGCACGCTGAATGATTCTTCGCCTTGGTGAAAGCACTTTCAATCGCTCCATCCAACTTCATGCTCGAGCCCTGAGGGCATCGGAGTGCTGCTGGGCTGGAGATGAGAAGGACCCGAGCCTGTAAAGTTCCAACCTCCTCGTGGTCGAGATCTGACACCAGCGCCTTGAGGGCTTCGCGAGCGATGTCGTCTCCTGATCCAGCACGGGTCACAAGACAAGAAGGTAGATGAGGTGCCAACCTGAGATAGTTTCTTCTGACTTGACGATCTTCGAGGAGGATATGGCACCATAAATGTAAGCCATGTTCTGCTGTTCCGCGTTCCACTTGTTCAGCTAGCCAATCACGTTCAGAGGGCAAGCAGAGTTGCACGAATCATCAAGAGAGGACCTGGACGATAGAAACCTCTTTGCTGTAACCCGAGTAGCCGCAGAGCATGATGCTGACAGCTGACCTGAAGCGAAAGTGAGGCAATGAACAGGGAAGATGAAGCAGCAACACAAGGCAGCAACAGAGCTCAACTTCTACTTACCCTTGTGGGCGCAGTTCGTTGACGACTCTCGCATACTCCAGCGCAGCTTCCAACAAAGCGCTCCAACGAGAGCGCTGGAGCTGCAAGAGAACTTTGCCTTGGAAGCTGCGAAAAAGTCACTCCTTGGAGACAGACAGGAGACTGCCTCACTTCTTCTTGTCCTCAACCTCGACCTCGTTGTTCTCATATACCTGCACACTTGGTCATCACATACCTCACGATCCACTCGCTCTGACCTCGTCGGAATCGTTCCCGCAGACAAGCACGATCAAGGTTCGATTCACTGACTGTCCTGACATGATTTCTAGTCTAGTCGGATCGGCATGCAACCTGATCAAATGCGTCAAGACGTGATAATAAGAACTTTGGACAATCAGAACTAGCGATCACCAAGGAACAACACAATCGAAAGCCAACAGGAAGCTCAGAATATTGATCTATGATGTTACTACAGCCAAAGGACTGCCTCTGTACATGACATGTGAAGGAGCGATAGGGCAAAGATAGGAGGAGCAGGAGCAGGAGCAGGAGCAGGAGCAGGAGCAGGAGCAGGAGCAGGAGCAGGAGCAGGAGCAGGAGCAGGAGGAGCAGAAGCAGGAGAAGCAGGAGGATCAGGAGCAGCAGGAGCAGGAGCAGGAGCAGGAGGATCAGGAGGAGCAGGATGAGCAGGAGCAGAAGCAGGAGCAGGAGGAGCAGGAGCAGAAGCAGGAGAAGCAGGAGGAGCAGGAGGAGCAGCATAAGTAGGATAAGCGGGAGCGGGAGCAGGAGAAAGAGGAGCAGGAGGATCAGGAGTAGGATCAGGAGCAGGAGGGGCAGGTGGGGCAGGTAGGGCAGGTGGGGCAGGTGGGGCAGGAGGGGCAGCAGGAGCGGGTGGAGCAGCAGCAGCAGCAGCAGCAGCAGCTTCGGGGAAGGAATCTGCATTGATGTGCCTTCACCTTCGTCGACGTGACAGTTACAAACGGTTATGATCATCTTCACCACTGCCCTGTGAGATCGCCCGGGCTGGCGGCGCACACTGCACTGGCCGCTCAGCGACCCCGGGCCCGGGCCGGGCCGTGGAGTCACGGTCCCGCGGCCGCCGCACGGTCTACCGGTGATCGTGATAGGTCTTCACTACTGAAAAGTTGTTCACGGCCAATCTGATACGGTAACTTAAAAACTTGAAAGGCCGGCGGGACTCAGGGGAGGCCCTAGGCCCGGGCGGATGAAGGGTGAGGGACCGGAAGCAAAAAAGAAGAGGGCAGCATGTGGTATATATACTGTGAGAGGTATTGATCGAGTAACTCGGCGGCTGGTCAAGGTGTATATCACCCCAACCTTTTTGACCCCCACTCACTACCACACATTCTTTTACTTCGTAACCTCCCCAGATCGATTCCTCCTGAAGTCACCACCCACCCTTCAACCCACCCACTCAGCGCAATGCACTGCACCGATTATGTCCCCTACGCTCCATACATTTTTGCTTGTGCTCTGCGGTCTGCTCATACAAGAACGCTACCTTTGCTGTTGATGCTGATAATGCCTCATCACTCTCAGCATCTTCATAGGAGCTGCGTCAAAGTCATACGCGCAGAGTCCATGTGGTTGGGCATACAATGAGAACGAAAGCAGTCAGGATGGCAGCATCTATTCAGAGGAAACGAAACCCTTGCATATCCATCTACGATTGCAGACTGAGCGATCGCTACAAACGTCCAATGGAGCGACTCAACTTGAAGCTTACACCACGAAACTTGTTCTGATACAATCGATCAGCACTCGGCAAATGAGAGTCCGAGCTTGAGAGAGAGAGCTGTGCATTTTCTTGTATGTCAATGCTGTGTGTATGACAAACCTGCGTACGACTCTCCTATGATTGTACCTGCCGGCAGGCAGCACCGTTGAATCACCAATTGATTCTATGGCAGTGAGCTTCATCTAAACCCAAACGATCATCCGAACGGTCTATGATCCTGTACGGTCGCCTCATGCTACACGGCGTCAAAAGGTACGCCAGGATGGACCTGACCTACAGACGTCAGGAAAAGCGCTACAGGACAAATGAGCCAGGGCGAGGAGGAGGGGGCGGGGCGGGAGGAAGGGATGGAGGATGGGGTTTGCAAGGGTGGAAGGAGGGGAAGGGGAGGGAGGAAGGGGAGGGCAGTATGTGGTATATATACTGTGAGGGGTGTTGATCGAGTAACTCGGCGGCTGGTCAAGGTGTATATCATCCCAACCTTTTTGATCCCCACCCACTATCAAACATTCTTTTACTTCGTAACCTCCCCAGATCGATTCCTCCTGCCGTCACCACCCACCCTTCAACCCCCCCACTCAGCGCAATGCACTGAACCAATCAATGTCCCCTACACTCCATACATTTTTGCTTGTGCTCTGCAGTCTGCTCATACAAGAACGCTACCTTTGCTGTTGATGCTGATAATGCCTCATCACTCTCAGCATCTTCATAGGAGCTGCGTCAAAGTCATACGCGCAGAGTCCCATGTGGTTGGGCATACAATGAGAACGAAAGCAGTCAGGATGGCAGCATCTATTCAGAGGAAACGAAATCCTTGCATATCCATCTACGATTGCAGACTGAGCGATCACTACAAACCTGCATGCAGGTGCGACTCTCCTATGATTGTACCTGCCGGCAGGCAGTACCGTTGAATCACCAATCCGATGATGGACGCTGCAACAGCAGTGAGCTCGATTCTATACGGCATCAAAAGGTACGCCAGGATGGGCGTAGCCTACAGACGTCAGGAAAAGCGCTACAGGACAAATGAGCCGGGAAGAGGAGGAGGGGACGGGGCGGGAAGAAGGGGTTTGCAAGGGTGGAAGGAGGGGAAGGGGAGGGAGGAAGGGGAGGGCAGCATGTGGTATATATACTGTGAGGGGTGGCATACCAGTAACTCGGCGGCTGGTCAAGGTGTATATCATCCCAACCTTTTTGACCTCCACCCACTACCATATATTCTTTTACTTCGTAACCTCCCCAGATCGATTCTCATTTCTGTCCGGATCGTTTTACTCGACCTTAGCTTTTTACCATGCGCCCCATCACTCTTGTTTTTCTGCCCATGGCCAGAGGGAACTTGTGGAGGAGGAGGAGGGTGGGGAAATAAAGGAGGAGACACTTCATAATAGGAAGAAGAGAGAAGAAGAGAAGGCAGGGCAGGGCAGGGCAGGGCAGGGCAGGCAAAGTCATGGAGCCGCAGAAGGAGGAGAGAAGACTGAAAGACCCTCGTCGTATCTTGATTTTTTCCTGGTTCAGGGTAATGGTTCGCCTTGATGGTAGTGGATCTCGTGGATACACCAGATCATTGCAAGTTCTCTTGATATTTCTTGTTAACATTCATCTTTTCTCCTCACCTCAATCTGTTGCTGGGTTCGTCAGCGTTATCAGCATCAGAAAGCTGGTGATTCATCCAGCAACGGGCAGCCGCAATGCACTGAGAAAGAAAGGTGCGGCGTCGATCCCTGTGCGCAACTTTGAGCCTCCCCTGCAGCTTGCTGTCCGAGCATTCAAGATTTGCTGATGGGCGATGATGGTGAGCGAGACATTCTTGTTGTTTGTATGGTGACCGAGCACGTTGCTATGATAGAGCTCGACTTCAAGGAGGGTGACTGGGTCAAGGTGTCTGAAGATGCGCCATTGAAGATGGCGAAGAAGGTAGTTGTTGCTTGCTGAATGGAGGTTCGGTGAAGGGCGAGTAGGGGTGGAGCACTGGACTGAAACCAACGCTGGGGAAGGTTGGGATGTTCGTGGAGGAAGTTGTGGCAGGAGGGCGATTCTGTGTGGTCGACTTTAGCATGACGCCTGGAATCGAGCACCTGGGGCGGCGAGTCTTGCTGGGGTCCTGCCTATCCTCGTCGCAACCTCTTGACGAGATCTCCTTTGACGAAGTGCTCCCACCTCCTGCGGAGTACACGCATCAGACCGTGAAGGAGGAAGTGCAAGTCCCTCGTGTGTCGATCGATGATGAGATTGCAAAGTTGGAGAAGCAGCT